TTTGGAGAATAGTATATTATATATAGTATAGTAGAAAACTTTGTATTGTCATATTTAGTTAGTGATGCACATTTTATAATACTGTCATATTAAGTTCAGTTCAACAACTGTTGCACGTTTAATTTGCACATTTTCAACATCTCAACAGAAGACAATAGCCTCATTATTAAGCTCGGATCTGGTTCTCTTCTGTTCATTTCTCCAGTGTGCTTAGTGGAAATAAATGTGAACGTGATAGGAGCATTACAAAAATATGAGTTTAATTAAAGACTGTCCTTTTCTAGCAGCTGATTATTTAGCATCTCATTAGCATAGTGATACATTATTCATGATTGCCATCATTAATTACTCCTTCCCTGCCATTAGCAAATAAGTTAATGAGGCTATTTATATTCTGACATGGCTGAGGGCGGACTGAAGATGTGAGAAGAGTCTGAATATTCAAAATCAGTCTTTTTTTTGGGGGGGGGGGGGGGGGGGAATTCATCAGTTTGCATTGTTCTCATCTGCATTTCTGTAAATGGGATGTTTCCATATTCCACATTAAGCCTTTCTAGATTTATAAAACATTCATAATTCTTAAAATGGTTGTGATCATCAAAAACATTATCTGAGGAAATATACTCGAAGATTTGTTGAAGAATGCCATGTTATTACAAGATAAAAGTGAAAAAAAAAATGGAATTACAATTGCATTGTGTCTAAAAAACAGCATTTATTGGCTTTTTGGACAAAAATAATGATACTTTTCAGCAGTTTTTGGCTTGTTTTTTGTTTTACACTGTAGTAATAAATATAAACGTACAATAATAATAATAATAGGCTGCATGGTGGCGCAGTGAGTAGCACGTTCACCTTACAGCAAGAAGGTCTCTGGTTCAAGTCCCGGCTGGGCCAGTTGGCATTTCTGTGTGGAGTTTGCATGTTCTCCCCGTGTTGGTGTGGGTGTGCTTCGGTTTCCCTCAAACACATGCGCTATAGGTGAATTGGGTAGGCTAAATTGTTCGTAGTTTATATGTGTGAATGAGAGTGTATGAATGTTTCCCAGTAATGGGTTGCAGCTGGAAGGGCATCCGCTGCGTAAAACATGTGCTGGATAAGTTGGCGGTTTATTCCCCGTGTGAACCCCAGATTAATAAAGGGACCACGCTGAAAAGAAAATGAATGAATAGTAATAATAATAATGCACAATAATAGTATATGCACAGTAAAAATAAATGTAAATGTATTAACAAAGCATGCAGATATGCAAATAAGCAGGGTAGGGGAAATATCAATACAAAGTGGTATCGTGATTTATTTTTTATTTTTTTTGTACTATTTGTTGAATGAATTGACCATCATGTTTGATGTCATGTAATGATGTTCATCCAAGTTTTTGAGAGCTGGCAAAGACCACACACTCTAAAAAATGTCGGGTTGTTTTAATTTATTGTTGGGTCAAATTTGGAGAAAACAAACATGGGTTACATTTATTTTCAGTTCAATTTATGTTCCTTCTTAACCCAATGGTTGGGTTAGAGCTGCAGGGTTCTGGCTGAAATGAGAATCGCTATTTTTTATTTTTTTTTGCCTACAATAAAGATCAAGATTTTCTCCGGATTCTGTAGATGTAAAGGTTAATATGAGTGCGCTATTATTATTGTTATACTCAAACATGTGGTAAAACAGCAATAGGCTTTGTGTAGCTGTACTATTAGTTAAAATGCTAAATGTTGTATAGAGTTGGAATGGTGGACTTAAACAGACTTTAGATGTGTCCTGGTCATTAATGCTGATGATAATTCTGATGTTGAGTTTTTGTGTTTGAGACGTATGCTCACAATCTGTCATTTTCTGCCTAAAATCTGTCACTGACGTGATTTTGGTGAATACAGAAGACTGGGCGGGTATTTTTGCATTTCGGTGGGTTTTGGATACTTTTTGTGCTGGAATCAGTCAGTTACATCTGGCAACACTGTGTGCGCTTTCGGTTTCATTTTCACTGCTAAGAGCGGTTCACTTCCCGCATGGCTCCCAAACCATCCCTCTGTGCCACAAACTGAATGTTATTTACGTCTTTATTACCTGTTATTTACAGTCTCTGCAGGTTCTGTTCTCTACAGTAGACTTCATTCAGAGGCGCCCGCCCTCTCTCTGGTGACAGCTGACGGTCAGCTCACGTCACATGTGATTTTGCGGTCGCAAATACATTACATGAAGACAGAAATGACATTTTGGGGGTGAATTATATCTTATAAATACAGCATGTGACTCAACACCATTTGGAGGTGTCCACGTTGCTAAACGATGTATGTAAAGCAATGTGAAGACTTGTGCGCCACCATTGCTTCTCCTGAAATTGAAAATATGATTGACAGATTCATAGAAATGCTGGATTAAGATCGTCTAGGGGGTCAAATAGAGTTTGCGAACTTTTTACAATTAATTGTGCAGCTCTAGGTTGGGTTTGTTCATTTTTGACCCAATGTTGGGTTAAAACAGCTCAGCTTTTTTCAAAGTGGACAGTATTTTGTTATTGTAATGAAGTTTACGGCCCTTTGGCCGCCGGGAAGAAGGAGGCGGAGAACCGGTTTAAAATATTTATTAACAACAATGACGGCAGCTCCTCACAGAGACTGCCGTCTAAACCAAAACAAACTGAAAGCAAAAGTAAAATAAGTCCGGGCCCGATCCTCTCTCGGCTTCCTCTGCCATTGGTCCTCCTTTTATAGTCCAGAGCTCCTTCCGTGGGATCCGAGGCAGGTGCGCACCGCACGTGTATCCACTTACGCGGTGGCCTCACCCCGTTCCCACGGCTCTCGGCCACGCCCCCTCGCCACATACCCCCATCTCCCATCACAGGCCGGGGGCACCCCGTGGCTATGCATACTCCGGGAGGGGGGGGGGTTTGGCGCCACAGCACCCGCGAGACCTATATGAGACGGGCCGAGAGAAAAGGAGATGGAAAAAAAGGAGGAAAGACAAAGTAGACCGAGAAAGGGGAGAGAGGAAAAAAAGAAATAAAAAATTGGGGTTCGGTTCTCCAGACACGCTGCCACTCGGTCCTCCACCAGCTGAGAGATGCGACGACGTGCTGGGAGCCCTGTGGAGGAATCTATCCACCCGTCCGTCTTCTGGCGTCCGGCGGCGGTTCTCCTGGCTGGCTGGCGGCATTTCTGGTCTCCTGCTCCGCTCCCGCTTCGGTGGACGGATGCAGGCTCTGGCATCATGGCGGATCGCGGCGACTCCCCCGGGTTCTGTGGTATGGCTCCCTTCAGCACTTTCCCTTCCGGTGGTGAGCCCCGCGTCCCCTGCTCCTTCCCATGCTGGGAGACGGCAGCAGGCAGATCCTTTCCTCGCCAGCCTCAGGCCGCCCCGGCACTCTGGGCAGACGGACGGGTTTCTCCCCCACTCGGGTTAACTCCCAAACACTCGCCCCCTCTCTCAGCGGCGAGGGCATCTGGACAACGCGTCCCTCCTTCTCCCGGGCTTCGGCACCACTGTAATGAAGTTTAAGGCCCTTTGGCCGCCGGGAAGAAGGAGGCAGAGAACCGACGGAGCTTTAAAATGATTTATTAATAACAGTGTTGGCAGCTCCTCACGGAGGCTGCCGTCTAAACCAAAACAAACGGACAGCAGCTCCTCACGGAGACTGCCGTCAAACTGAAAGCAAAAGTAAAATATGTCAGGGCTCGATCCTCTCTCGACTTCCTCTGCCCTCGTTCCTCCTTTTATGGTCCAGAGCTCCTTCCGTGGGATCTGAGGCAGGTGCGCACCGCAGGTGTATCCACTTACGCAGTGGCCTCACTCCGTTCCCACGGCTCTTGGCCACGCCCCCTCGCCACAGTTATGTCCTAACTTTTTCACACAATTGTGCATAAAACATTTAAGGTCATTCCCATGCACTCTACAAAGTGCTGGGTTGTTTTAACCCACAGTTTTAATCCAGCAGTTGGATTAAAATATGAGATTTAAATGTAACTAAAAACATGTATATATTTCCCTAATGCAAGGGTGTCCAAACTCGGTGCTGGAGGGCCGGTCTCCTGCAGATTTTAGCTCCAACTTCCCTCAACACACCTGCACGGATGTTTCTAGAAAGCTTAGTTAGAGCTTGATTAGCCAGCCCAGGTGTGTCTGATTGGGGTTGAAACTAAAGGACACCAGCATAACCGGTGCAAAACCGCATACTTCCATACTACATAGTACTCTGAAATCAGTGTGCGAGCAGAGTAGTGTATTCAAAAATTTGTATGCGAGAAGTACCCGGATGACATACTACTTCTGGTGAGATTCTGGAGTGTGCATCCCATGCATGATGCGTTATTCCATGATGCCCCGCGAGAGAATTC